TTTGAGCCCAACTTAATCGACCCCACAAATAGGACCCCACTTGAGAAACAAAACCTTCCAAGTCCAGATTTTTTTTATATTTTGGGTATAAGTACAACTATGTGAAATATAATATGACACAAAATGGTAATTCTTCTATTTTCTTTAACGAAACGTTATATAAATATTTATATAATTTAATATTAAATTACCAATAATAAATATTTTACTCTATACTTACTAACTTAATATAAATCTTTTACTCAATAAAATTTCCATGCAAATTTCTTCTCTATACTTATGCATTTGTTTTATTCATAAATCCTTCTGATTATCCAGTTTATAATCTCTTCTTTTTTATTATATTTTATTGTATATATTGCACAACTTAATTGTGGATGATAAAATGCGAGATTCTTTCTTATATTTCTCTATTTGTTACAATTATTTGCAAATGGTCTTTCATCCTGGGTTAATACATCTTCTTGTCTATTTTATCTATGTAAACAGAATTTTGATCTAAAAATTAATGAATATTCATTGTCAATTTTAAGTTATTATTTTAATATATTTTATCTATATATTTTTATATGTACATATCAATTTTTTATTATATTATATTTATTATATTAAAAATCTTTGTTTTATTTTATGTATCACCCTAAATATTAATTTTATATCATAATAAGTAATTCACAAAATTCATATTTATAAAATAAATATACTTGTTGTTGTATAATTAAATTTTTTTTGTGAATTTCTTATTTTCTTCCATTAACAATTAAAGTATTTCTAAGTGAAGAAAAGGCATATTTTTCTAGTATTATTTGTTTTATTATTTTTTGTATGCCCTAGTTTTTTTTCTGAAAGAAATCTTAAGTGTTCTCGCAGTTTTGGCTAATGTGTTTTATGATGAGCTTTCAGAGAACACTCGAAAAATTCATAGTGAATGTACAAAGAGGATTGTATATATAAAAACTTAAAACATTTTGAGTTTAAAATAAACAAATATAAAAAGATCATTTAACAAATCATAACATGTGTTTACTCCGAAGATTATCAAGTGATATGTATATATGTAGGATATATATGCACGTGTTATGTTTATTAAATATTTGCTTGGTATTGAAACGTATATATTTATAAATATTATCGAACATTTATACTTTTCTTTGAAGTGAAAATCATGTTTACATAACTGCCATTCACATGTGCCTAACAAGTTTTTATTTGTGTATATATTCGTATACTTAAATGTTTATTTAAATAAATTCTGATATATATATATATATATATATATATACATTTGTTTATATGAATTATTTCAAATTGCAAGGTTAATAAAAATCTGTAAATCTGGAGATGTATATTAAAATTGTGATAATTGATCAAAGTATCGAATATGAATCAACAATTCGTTATATTTGTATTGTGCACATATCTGACATTTTTGCTAAAGAATTATTTATATGTATATACATACACATATTTGTATGTAAATTTGTATATAATTTTAGATTCGTGGAAATGTAGAGAGTAAAACTTCAAACGGAAATAATAAAACTTAAGCACTATTGATGCATTGACAGATCTCAAAGAGTTTTAAAAATATCAACGTCCTGAACTCAAAGACAAACAGTTCAAAGGATTTTGATAACCATGTTCCTAAGATTAAAAATTGGAATATGGGTCACCTAGACAATATAATAATATGATGGGTCATTTGCTTCAATAATTAAAAATTGGAAAAATAATATCTTAAGTGCAGTTTCAATTCTGTAGTTATTGGCTACAATATTTGAATTGAAAATTATTTAAATCTCCAAAAAATTATTTAACAAAATTTATTTATTATCGATTTAACAAAATCTGGAGCCAAGTACGAGCCTTATTTATTTTTCTATTGAGTAATTCCAGTACGTGCCCAAACGTATTTATTTAACGTTGGCAGATTCTTGTACAGTAACTAGTTCCCAGTACCAAAGATGTTTTTGGAGCTATAAAATTGGAAAAGCGTTTTTTAAGTAAATAAACATTTATGTATTTTAGCTCAAGTTGTCTTGATCTAAGAACAACACAGTTAACATGGTAGTTAGGTTTAGATATGCTTTAAAATTGTGAATTATGTGAATAGGTGTCGGACTCAGAAATGGAGTAGATATAGGCTTAGGGACATGCTCTGTGAAATTTTATTTGAAACATCTTTCTCAATCATATCAGTTATGTGTAAATAAAATTTTGATTTTGTACTTAATACGTGTTTGGCTTCAATAGTTCCTTTTATATAAGAGAACTATAGTTTCCTCTAGTACATGTACTTATGTTTTTCAGATCGTAGGTTTCAAATTCTACATCTTGATGATGACCGTGCATCAGAAATTTTCCAACAATTATATAACTATACTTTGAAAGAATCTGATTATAAATTTAATAATCTTTTACTTTAAATTTTCTCTTTTTACTCATCGAATATGCAGTTATTAAACTATTCTTACCCTTATACTTACAAAGTCGTTATAACAATCATTGGCTTTTGTTGTAACAATAGACAATTACCATCATAATTTATTTCAAAGTATTTTTGCTAATATGATGATGTTTCATTGAATTTTCTATTGGACCATTTGATCTTCCTTTCACTGGTTATATGAAATATATATTTAGCTCGGTCCCGCCTTCTCGTTTCTATGGTTTCTGTAGACCAATAGATTTCAGTTTACTCTAAGATTTGCTGAAATCAAATTTACATCTTTGAAATGGGAGTTTTCTAAGCAAATACATGTAGACACATCACATCACTACTATATTATTCAATATATTTTAATGTTACTACAAAAACTTAATTTTTAGAAAATATATTATATAGTAGCATTAGCATAATTATAATTTTACCAATTTATCCATATTAAAGTTTCTACTTTAATACAGATCAGTTTTTTCTTTAATTTGTTCATTTCTATAAACAACATAGTAATTATTATAATGTGTTGTTTTAACAACTTACCTGCTTTTGTTCTAAAATGATACTAAAACATTTGCAACAAATGCCACTAAAACAACCAACTTGTTAAAATAGTATAATTGTTCTTAGAGTAGTTTCCTTAGCAATATAATAGGCATTCCAATAAGAATTTTTTTTGCGTAATAGCTATATCAATTCCTTTGCATCACAGCTCCAAATCTTGAGCTTTTTTCTCTTCAAGGTATCTAGAATAAAATATATTTTAAATAAAGAATTTTTATAATAAAATATTAAATTGACATTTACATGAACAAAATGCATTAAAATTTAATAAAAAATCCTCTGTAGTTGAGTTAAACTCAAATGTAAATAAGTACAAGTTATGTGTGGTCTGTTTTATTATTTCCCAATGAAATAAACACATTTAAACACATACTGTTACAAATAATAAATAAAATTCAATCTCTTTTATTTTCCTAGATCTTTTGCATCTAATTTAAACACATGTATGTGTGGAATTAAAATATAACGCGGTACAAAGAAAATACAAATCGTAAAAAGGCGTTTAGATCGTTAAATCGGTCGTTATATTAGTTTTTTTGTTTTTGAAGTTCGCGCCTCGCGGAACACACACCGACAATGTCAGCGGCTAATTTAGTGGGTATTTGAAATTTGATTGTTTTAAAAGAAAAATCATAAAAAAATTCAAGGAATAGTTTTCTTTGTAAAGATCGTAAAATGGTTCTTTAACAAAATACACAAAGCGAAAAGTTTTATGTTCACATTTAAACTAGACATCTGCGTTGTGTTACAACTAATTTGCATAATAGTGTAGCTGATTTTTCAAGCTTCACTTGGCAAAAAAAATAGTAAAATTTTTACACATTACTATTGCTTTCTTTATTTGCTAAAACTGGGGCGTTAAATATTTATTATTTACGTAAAAAAACATCTTTATATTTTTTTTATAATTAATTATATAATTTACAATAAGCAATGTAAAATTAACCATAACGGCCATACTTGTTGCACAATTAGGGTACATAAACGTTTGACTCTTCAATAAAAATAATACTTGAACCAAAAAATAAAATAAATTAAAGTAACATACCGTAATTGTCAATTCAATAAATTCAACTATAATTATGAATATCAATTGCGAATACAATTAATTCTCCTGTATTTATTATAATTCATCTGCATTGAATTAAACGTATCAAGTGTCACTTAAAACTGGGAACATAATTAATCCGGTCCGGCCTCAAGATACCAAACAACAACAAACTTCACCAGGGTCATAGGATTTGCCAACGTTAACATAAGCATCAAATTTATAACGTTGTTTATTGGTTATTAAAGTTGGCTCAAATTGATGCTCTATAAACGCTGTTTGAATCTTGTTTCTCTTAAAAAAATATATTCAAAATATACAATATTTTTCATTTAGTTATTATTTCAAAAATGAAAATTACTTAAGGAAATGCCCGGCATCCTGAACCAAACTTCACCAGCGTCGTAAGGTTTGCCAACATATTATCACAACATCAACCCCTTAACGCCGTCTACTGTTTATCAAAGTTGGCTCAAATTGGTGTTTTGTAAAAGCTGCACGAATTTTATTTGTCCTAAAATATTGAATATTTCACTGAGAATTCTTTTCCAAAATGGGAAAATACTCGAGAGAACCAGAGGATCCTTGCAAATCCTGCAAAGCTAGAGGATCGGAACTCCGTGTTCATTTTAAGGTATACATTGCGCAAATAAATTTTCATTGTATATTTAAGGCTAAAATAAATTATTTTCGTTCAGAAAATTAAATTTTTTACACGTATTTGAAGGGAAAACTTAATATATTATTGCGATTGTAAATAATATTATTTGTATATTACTCACATCTCAGTATTCATTTCATAACTATTAAACAATAAGTCATTGGAAATTATACGTTCACATATTTCTCAATGCAGCCATTTTGTTTCAATTATTTAATTATTATTTAATTATGATTTTAAGGTGTTGGGAAATTGTTGAGTTTTGTAATTGCAGTATTAATTATAAAAAAACTAGAGATGGTTTACCTTTACTTACTTTTTCAGTGGTCAATTATTAAATTTCATATTATTTTTTAGAACACTTTAGAAACAGCTAAAGCACTTCGAAAGATGAAACTTCAGCGAGCTGTTTGTTATTTGAAGAATGTGATTAACCACAAAGAATGTGTCCCATTTCGTAAATTTGTTGGTGGTATTAGCAGATGTGGACAGGCCAAGACTTTTAAAACAACTATAGGTCGTTGGCCTAAAAAATCAGCCGTATTCCTGCTGCAATTATTGAGTAATGCAGAATCGAATGCTGACTTTAAGGGTTTGGATGTGGATCGCTTAGTCATAGATCATATCCAGGTACAATTGTTCGAGAATAGGTGTACTTATTTAAAGTATTATATCATAAATATATCTTATACTTTAGGTGAATAGAGCCCCATGCATGAGACGCAGAACATATAGAGCTCATGGTAGAATAAATCCTTATTTATCTTCCCCTTGTAATATCGAAGTTTGTCTCATTGAAAAAGAAAGAGCGATCACTCAAGTTTTAGATAAAGAGCCTGCCAAGAGGAAGAAAATTTCAAAGAAGAAGTTAGCAAAGCAAAAGGCTAAATTGGCTAGAGAATAATCAAACAAATTTTTATTTCACAATATGTGTATACCATGACATTTAAGCTCAAGGTATTTATTCTGTTGATATTAATATAATTTTCTTAACGAGTTGACTACATTACAAAAATTACACCTCTAAAATATTGTTCTTAAAGAGGTACAAATGTAATAATATAAATATTAATACTATAATATGCATTATCAATAAAATTAGTATATAAATATAAATTATATTTAAAATATCAGCAATATTCGATATAGAAATATTTATTATTTTGTATTATTGCACATTTTATTTACTGGAATGTTTAAGCTAAAGGATTTTTCTTCATAAGTTCAATATCGGAGGTCATCATATCTTCGACTAGCTCTTCAAATGAAATTTTAGGCGCCCAACCTAATTCTTTCTTTGCTTTTGAGGCATCTCCAAGTAATAGATCCTAAAAAAATATTGTTTTGTAACAGTTATTACTATTAATTGCTAAGAAATCTTAATAACATATTGAAATTATAAGATTTTACCACTTCTGTAGGCCGGAAATATTTTTCATTAACTTTAACACGAACGATACCAGTATTTTCATCGACACCTTGTTCTTCTAAGCCTTTTCCTCTCCATGTTATTGTTACTCCAATATGCCTAAGAATAAAATATATGTTTATTTTTATTTTTATATAACAATATTTTATTATTTTTATATAATACCTGAAACTAGCTTCTACAAATTCCCTAACACTACGAGTGTGGCCAGTTGCAATAACATAATCTTCTGGTGTAGATCGTTGTAACATTAGCCACATGGCTTCAACATAGTCTTTTGCATGACCCCAATCTCTTTGGGAATCCAAATTGCCTAATTCAAAGAATTCTAGTTGGCCTAAATGGATTTTGGCTACCGATCTAAAGGAATAATCAGAAAAATAATAAGCATAAAAGCAAAATATTGTGAACCCCTATTAATTGATATAATATTAAAATAAATAATACAATTATTTAGACTTATACCTAGTAATTTTTCTAGTTACAAAATTTTCTCCTCTTCGTGGTGATTCATGGTTGAATAAGATACCATTGCAAGCAAACATATTGTAAGCTTCTCTATAGTTTACAACAATCCAATATCCATACAATTTTGCGCAAGCTATCAAAAAATTATCAGAATTTAAAATTATCTTAGAAACTATATTGGTTCTTACAAAACTAATTCAATTACCATAAGGAGATCGTGGATAAAAAGGTGTTTTTTCAGTTTGTGGTGTTTCAACTACTTTTCCATATAATTCGCTAGTACTAGCTTGGTAAAAACGAACATAATTCTGCATACCACAGGTTCTTATTGCGTCCAGGAGGCGCAGACACCCGACTGCGTCCACTTCTGCTGTGTATTCACTTAAATCGAATGAAACCTTTGTAAAGAGAAAAATGGAAAATTGTAGATAACTTATATAAATTGAATTTTTAAAATGTTTTAGTGATATAAGAAAACCAGGCTAATTTAATAACAATAAGAACATAATAAAAAGATGAGAAAGAAAGTGCAACACCCGATTATTACTACGCTTTGCAAACTGCAAAGCTTACTCAGGGTAAATCAAATATAATCTGAACTATTATACCTTGACGTGGCTTTGAGCAGCCAAATTATAAATTTCGGTAGGTTTAACTTCAGCTATGATTTTAACTAAACAAGAGCTGTCGGTCATATCACCATAATGCAATTTCATTTTTCCTTGTTTGTGAGTTTTTGGATCAGCATACAAATGTTGAATTCGAACAGTATTGAAAGTACTGGCTCTTCTGATTATTCCATGAACTTCGTAGCCTTTGCTGAGCAGAAATTCAGCGAGGTATGATCCATCCTGAGATAAAAGATAAATTTGTCCAAAAACTGAGGTAATGTATAGTGATTTGTGAGTAATGTGAATAAGCTGATGAATTTTAGAATACTTAAGAATTAGTTTCCAATATTTAATAATTAATGATTATCTTTATGATAACTCTTATGTGCATGTTGAGAATATTTGAAATTTATTCACTTTATTCCTTACTAAATATCCTTGAATAATAAAATAATATTGATTATCATAAAAGATTTATTCATGTATTCTATAACATTTAAAATTTATTTGAATTCAATATCAATTCTTGTGAAAAATTATCCTTTAATAAAAAAATGTACACGTGTAAATCTTTTCCTCTTAGAGTTTTGAAAATCGCGCTTCTTAATTATCAATAAGACGCTACTGCACTCTGCATACAAAATGAGTAATTACTCTATAATATATGCTAAATAGCCATTGTTTACAAATTATTACAAAACTGAATTTTGATTTAAAATTTTAACTTGAAAACTTATCTTAATTTTTACACTATACATAGTTTAAGTTTTACCTGTCCAGTAATACCAGTGATCAGAGCCACACGTCTTTCAGGAACAGTTGAAAAATCACCAAACTCCATTATGTTCTTTTTAATTTTGAAGAATTTTTAATAGTTAATATTGATAATACAATGCTAAATAGAATTAAAACATTACAATAGTACCACGTTTTTTATGAACGTAAGCAAATTTATTCGATTGTGTCAGCATATCAGCAAATAGATAAAGAAAACCACCTATTTCAACAATAAACTAATACATTGAAAAGTAAAATGGTGGATACAGACAGTGAATGTGTCAAATGTTTGCATTAAATGAGTTTTAATAAAATCTGAGGGGGGCCGTTTATTTATTTTTTTATTCATAACTTAAAATTCTGTTTCCTGTTAAGATATCTATTTATTGGGCATAATGTATAAGACTTGTTTGCTTTTTGTGACGTTCTTATATATTGCTACATCTTTGACAGATGTGAGTAAAAATCTTTTATATTAATTATATCACTGTTTTTAATAACTGAGCCCATGAACTACTAAATTATTATCAATTATTAATTTACAGGCACAATCATACGAAGATAAAAGGTGTAGATGTGTTTGTCCAAGTACAAAATCAGTCTTGAACAATACACAAGGTACAGATCGAAAATTATACATTAGCAATGTTCCTCCAAATATGTGGTAAGCATATAATCTTATTAATAAATTGTCATTATATATGAAATTTTACATTATTAATTAGCTACTGTTAACCGATTAACTTAACACCATCTATGTTAATGTTGATGTAATTCGATGTATTTTAGCAATTGTGATGGCGTAATATTACCTAGAATTGGAGATGAAATTAAAGGAAAAGAACAAGAGTTTTGTCCAAGATGTGAATGTAAATATGAGACTAGAAATACAACAGTTATTCGGGTATATTATTTTATTAATTTACACAGTATTACAAATTAATATATTTTTATAGCAAAGAGCAAATTAGTTTTGAAATATGAATTATTTATTTCAGAAATATGATCAAAGATCAGCGCATCTGTCATATATATTTTATAATTTTTCATACATTTATTTTTCAGTTTGTGGTGATTATGGTGATTTGGATAATATCGTTGCTAGTAGTATACATGCTGTTCTTAATTTGCCTCGACCCATTATTAAATAAACGAGCAAAAGCTAATTATCAAGAGCACACAAACGAAGAAGTAAATAGTCTATTATTTCCTAAAACTCAACTTATTCATAAACTTTGGTATATTGAAAATTCCTAACAATCAGCATATATTTTGTTCATAGTTTTATATTTATATACAATAATTTTAAATCAATTTAAATTAAATTCTGGCAAATTTAATTTTATTATTTCATAACAGAATATGATATTTTATTCCTGTTTTTCAATTGATCTTAAAAGTTATGAATTGGTTTAATCATCCTGAACATCCCAGTCAAAAATTTTGCGCAAGTTTTATGATAAATATATTTTAATTACTTAAGGAATACTTCAGGAGTACTTAAAATAATTCTATTGCTAATTTTAGTATACTTGTAATGCTTATTATGACATTGTAACATATAATTCTCCAATGTACCAAAGATTAATCAATTTTTATTTTTTTTGTTATTTATATATGTATGTATGTGTGAATGTGTAATTATTTGATAAATCGCTGAATGTTAATCAATAGTCTCTTATATTTTGTAAGATTTTTTTTACTATTCTGTGCTAATCTTTCTATTATTTTTGTAATTTGCTTGTAAATAATTATGTGTAAATAAATTCCATTAATTTTTATTTGTTTCATGTTGCTCTCATACACACTTTCACTTTTACTAATTTTTGTGATTGAGTTCACCACATTAGCTATTGTTTTGTAAATACAGTCAAATATTAAGGAATCTTTTATATTTCAGGATGAGACTGCAACCACAAATAATTTGAATTCTCATCAAATGGGTGTGCGAGGAAATGTTTTAAATCGTGTAACACATCAACAAGATAAATGGAAAAGACAAGTTAGAGAGCAAAGGAGAAATATTTATGATAGGCATACTATGTTAAATTAGCTATTTAAATTATTTATGATAGTCATAATATTGAGTTACATGAATTTTACAGAACTGTTAATTTTAAAATATGACATGAATCACATTATTGTAATTGTATGAATTAGTCTATAAAATACATATGCGAATAAGTATTGAAATGTATATAATATTGTATATTAAAATATAAATTTTGTTCTTTATGTATGAATAATTGTATATGTATGTATGTGTATATATATTATAATCAGGCCCTAAAATTGTATATAAAAATATCAAATAAATATTTATAATTTAATCATTGCTTTTTGACTTTGTTGAAATTTGAATTAATCCATTAGTACTAAGCTGAGCCAACAGGTTTTTATTCTTTATTTCTTTATATTCCATGAAAATTTTGCAATATTTTAACATTTATACTCATTGAATAAAATTTAAGCATTTATTAATTTTCAATATTCTAGTTCTGCCGCTTAATATTTAAATCTCGTACACGCATTATCAGAAGTACCACCAACAGAAGTTGATTATCAATTCGTTTATATGGTCACTCTGTAAATAGTTCTTGAATAGAAAATGTCGAACAAATTGCAAATAGAATGCAATAATTTTAGTGATGTTATTTATGTGAAATTATTAAATAAACATGGCATTACCCAGTTTTTTTATTATACATTTTGATAAAGTTTTAATTTCTCGCAAAAAACTCTACATATAATGCTCAAAAATATTTTACGAAAGCATTTATAACCACGTACGTTTAGTTGACAGGTATTTTTTTTGTTTGGAAGAAATTAAACAAATGAATTTTGATTTCGTGTTTCATAAAATGCTATTAGTTAAGTGTTCGATTATTAGTTTGGTGATAAAATTGACGAAAGCTGATTGCTGTTTGCAAATTGAACGAAAATATTGATATTTACATTGGGTGAATATATACATGTAATCATTGGGTTTATAATATATATTTGTTATTCTAATAAGTCATATATATGTTTATTTCGTCACCCTTGGAATATATCTTTGGTATAAATGATGCATCTAATATATTTACATTTGAAAAAATAATATTAAATAATTTTAAATTCTGGAACAAGATTCGTGACACTAATAAAACAAAATATTCTATAAATAATAGGGTTTGAAAAATAAAATTGAACAGTTTACAGAGTTTAGCAATAACAAGAATTTAATTATGTCTATAGATTCTTCAGGACATGGCAGAATGCGCAACACTTTCAAACGGAAATACGAATACAGCGCAATCAACAAAAAATGGAAGAGTCAAAGATACTCTTTTTGACCCGTCAATTGAAATGATGGTAAATGATTTTGATGATGAAAGAACACTTGAAGAAGAAGAAGCACTCGCAGCTGGTGAATCTGAGGACTCAACTACAGAGTTAACTAGTTTACAAAAGGTAACTATAAGTACAGTATACTGAATTATTGAAAAAAAAGAGGATCAAAGTCAATAGATTATTGATTATTATATATAAAAATATTGTATCTAATTTTTCAATTTCTTTTGTTCATAGTTTTACTGTGATATTTGACCTTAGTCACATTTTAGGAAAGTGAAATGCCTTTATCGCAATTGTTAGAAATGTATGGATACGGAAATGAGATTGAGAATGAAAACGAAAATGAAAATGAAAATGAGAATGACAATGAAAATGCTGTTCTTGAAACAGAAGACGAAGGCGCTTCTAGAGCTCCTAGTGAATCAGGAGGAGAAGATCAACTAGATATGGCATCAGATGATCACTCAGCATTAAAACAACTTTATGATCCTGTACCTAATGAAGAAGCAGTTGGTACATCACGGCTTTTACGATGTAATAATAAGATTTTAGACTACTATTTTGAACATATTAATCATTTCTATAGCCATTTTTACAAGTTAATCATTTTATAATAATAAATAAATTTTTTAATACATCAACCAATATATTTTGATGTTTCAGCTCTTTCTCGTCCACAAAGTGAGGAAGAAGATGAAGACTATGACTACAGTCCTGATGAAGAAGAATGGAAGAAGGTAATAATTTTTTTATTAATAAATAATAAATAAACTACTATACTAATACGAGTTTTAAATATTCAGCACTATTAACTACAAAATAATCCTTTAAGATCTTCCAACTGATTTTTTATCATTTTCAGACAATTATGGTAGGTAGCGACTATCAAGCTTCAATCCCAGAGGGACTTTGTAGTTACGATGATGCTTTACCTTATGAGAATGATGATAAACTACTCTGGGACCCATCTCATTTATCTCAAGAAGCTATTGAATCATATCTTTTGAAAGTAAAAGATGTCTGCCCGATTACTGTTGGTCTCTTACCTCTCGGAAATCAATTAAAAGATGATGAACAAGCTTTGTTTCTGCTGCAACAATGTGGTCACAGTACTGATGAGGCTCTCCGAAGGATTAGAATTAACTGTGTCGCTTCCGTGGACACTATGAGTTTGTGGTCAGAGGAAGAATGTAAAAATTTTGAAAATGGTTTAAGAATGTTTGGGAAGAATTTCCATGAGATTCAACAAAATAAGGCTAGTTTATTTTTTAAACCTATCTTAATTATAATTTATTGAGAATTATTATTATTTTTTTTTATTATTTTAGGTTCGAACAAGATCTGTAGGTGAATTGGTTCAATTTTACTATCTGTGGAAAAAGACAGAACGCCATGATGTATTTGCTAATAAATCAAGATTGGAAAAGAAAAAATATACTCTTCATCCTGGTTTGACCGATTATATGGATAGATTTCTTGAAGAACAAGATGCGGTCATGCGGGATAGAAGTTGTTCACCAGCAGTTAACCTTTGCAATGATTCCAAAGGTTTTCCTATGGATACATCATTGGGAGCTGTTCCACCTGATCCTCTCGCAGTTGGTGAGAGAGAGGTATTTTCTGGCTTAGCATCTCCAACAGATATACATACTGAAGGCAGTACGGATAACACTGACCAGGAATACCAGAACAATTTTCATTGATGGCCTAAATTATGTTTGAAGAGTTCTGAATTTCAAGGATACTAAGTAAAAAAAAGTTAGTTTATTGTGAATTATAAAGATAAAACTGTATTAAAAGGACATTGTGTAAGAAGCATGCGGACATATTATATCTACAAGTATATGCAAGAAAAATATGATAAATATATTTTTTTATTTCTGTCATAATTTATTCCAAGAGAACCGTATAATACCATAGATGAAATATTTCTTGTGCACTATACAAAATTGTTGAAATATTTTATGAAATTATCATATATGTATTGCTTATGATGGATATATGCTAAATCTTAAGTGTTCAAAAATTATTTTATTTTCTTTTAACAATTTTAATAAGACATGTTTAGGGATTATGAATGAAATATTTAGAAATTTTATCCATGTGGTTCAAAAGGTTGAAATAAAAAACAAGTCAATTTCTTTTAAACTAAAACTGATGTTAAATATTATTATTTATATTTTATATTATATAAAATATTTTAATTAACAATAATTTACAGATAATAAATTAAGATTATTCAAAATATTTGTATATTTATATTTTTTACAGACAATTGTTTTACATTTGTGTAAACTTTAATTAAATCACTTAATTGTGTACTTATATTAAATACAATCTACTAGGATTTCAAAGAAGATAGAAAAAGAGTTTTTGATAAAAGTTTTGATATAAATTTTAATTCTATCACAGTTGACCTATCTTGGAAGAAATAGAACATTTTACTTCCAGCAATATCCTTTCCTATAACAAGATAAAGAATCCTATGATAAGATAAAGAATCAATCTTTTTATTTTTTTATTTATAAATTCATTGAGATATGGAGATCATTGCAAAGTATTTATTGTGGACAATTTATTATTATTGTGTATTATTTAATATTATTGTGTATAAATTATTAATATGTGTGTTATTTGAATTCGAAATATATCTATTTTGACTAAGATAGGTGATGTATGACTTGAGAGTTTGTGAATTCAATGTTAATGGTAAAATCCATAATCCATTTTGAAAATGAATACAATACGATAAAAGTAGGTCATTAAGATTAAATATCAACTTTTGTTATTCTTGTCTTTATAACAAAAATATCATCCATGAATTATCATCATGAATACGGGGTATTCTAATATTGTCTAGGATATCATCTATCAATATCACAATACCATGAATATATCATAGCATAGCACAATACCATGAATATATCATATTCTAATAATATTGTCTTGGGAACACCAACAAAATAATTCGAAATCTGGGAAGTGAATTATGCGACAGATCGGAAACAGTGTGCCCGTAGCCTTTCCATAATACTCAAGACAGATTTTACGCCAACCTGCGGCAACCCTCATTGTACAAATGACATATAAATAATAAGGTTATAAATCAAACAGACAAAACAACGCGCTTTTTACATTAATTATTAATTAATAGCTAATTGTTGATATACAATTATTCAAAATGAAATTACTTTCTCATAATATGTTAACGTCAAAGTGTATAAAAGGTGTGAATGTAGGATATCCATTAGCAATTCAGGTAATTCAATATATTTCACGTGTGTTTAAATGTGTACAGTTTTTATGTGATGATTTTTTGTTTTTAGGCAACAGACGTAAAAATTTTAGACGTAGACTTTAATAAAGAATTTATATCAAGACTAATACCTAGAATAGAGTGGGAAGCTTTACTAGGAGCAGTAGTCAATGTGAGTGTTTTTTTTTTCATTCCTACTATATAATCAATTTCAATATAAATATTATATATAAACACCTCTGCATGTTAAATCTTAAAAGTTTGACAGAAATGTCTGCCATTATTTCCTGACAACTCATAATTTCGATCATACAAATACAAATTTAATAAAAGGTTTTTTATACATATAGTATGTTAATTTTTCTTCTTCTTATTAAAGGATGAAAAATGAAATCTATATGTATACCCTTTTTAAGAATGCAAGTGAATGATTTATAATTATTTTTTTACTTTTATGATTTTCTACTTTTCTGATCTTTATGACTGCAATATTCAATTTATTTGCATGAATTGATTACAATAGAGATTTGATGCTTGAACGTCTTATTCTAATGCTTCTGCATATCTAATACGCTTGTTGATATGAACTAAAACTTATTGTTTGGACCATCACCACTTACTCATCATTTAACATATTCTTATTTTCTTTATTCGAATATTCTGTTTGTGAATTAGTGCTAGTGCTTTTCAATTGTGCATTCGACATACAATGATGGAAATTTAAAAATACAATTTTCAGTTGGGCCAAACTACTGAAATTCCAAAAGTGGTTCCTGAAGATTATGCCGAAAATGAAATATTTTTAAAACAAGCACATCATGCTCTATTAGAAGTTGAAGTTGTAGAAGGAGAGTTAATTTGTCCTGAAACAGGTCGAAAATTTCCAATTAAAAATGGTATTCCAAATATGCTTCTGAGAGAAGACGAAGTCTGAAACACTGCATGGGGTATTAGAAAAACTGTACAAAGGCATTGATGTGATTTTTTGTATAATTTTATTTAAGTTACATCGTATAATATCATTTATAATTATGTAAATTTTATCGATTAAAAGAAAAAACTAAACTACACGTTTTTTTATTAGATACATCAGGGAATATCTTACATTTTTAGTTGTTAGTCCTGTTTTTGAAGGTAACCCAGAATCCCTTTTCAACATGCATGTTAAATGTTGATTTTTTTATTTTTATTGGTATTTGTGTCTTCTCGCAAGGCACAATATCGAAATGCCGAAGAAGTTCGAATATTATCATTTTCACCTCCATTAATGCGAATCTGGATGCTATAACAATATTTAGACATCAAGTAATGGATCATATAATATATATAATATTAAAATTGATGTTTATAACCAATACCTATACAATTCCGTGGTCCTACACCAAAAGGCATATATGTGAATGGTTTGATTTTGTGTTTATTATCATCATTGAATCTTTCAGGATCAAATTTATTAGGATTTTCATAATATTTTTGATCACGTTGCAAAAGGTATATGGGGTACATTATGGATTCTCCTCGTTTTACCTAATAAAATAATTTGTATTTAATATAATATATATATATATATATATATATATATATAAAACATATTGTAAGTACTAAAAATTTATAGCATAATTTAATAATTCATTACTTCAAATTTATTTCCATCATAATCTTCAAGCTCGTAAGGCTTTGCGCAAATTCTATCAGTACCAGGAAGTGGTGGCCACAATCTTAGACTCTCTGAAAATTTTTAAAGAGTTCTTTTATTAGTACAACTTGCAAAGAAGCAACCGATAGAGTTTTTACTTGCCAGATACGACCATATCCAAATATTTCATGCCAACTACAGTTTCATAATTCGGTTTATCATTTATGGAATTGCAAACTTCGTCAATTTCTTGTTGAAGACGCCGCTGGATCTCTGGATGTACAGCCAATTCATGGCTTAAGAAGCACAAAACTGTTGACGTCGTTTCAAATCCGGCCAAAAAGAATATCATTGCTTGAGCTGTTAACTCATCGTGAGACCAAACTAGAAAATTAAATAAGTAATAATTAATTTAATTTAAAACTCATTTGCAATATGAATAAGCACACCTCTTTTTGTAGTGTGCGTTTTAGTAGCATGCGATTCGGCTACAGTAGCAAAACCTGCGTCAGCTGTATTATCAATGTTTTCCTCAGTTTTTGAGATTTCATGATGTAATGCTCCTTTTTTGGCTTGCATTAATAATTGTATCATATCTGGCCTATGAATATTTTCTTTATCTCTAAGAGCCATTGTATCTCTAACCAGAGAACGAAAGAAGTTTGCGCTTGATTCGCTTGTGAGACCTATTTTGAAAAACTGCAAAAAAATTTATTGATTGTGATCACGAAGTTAATTTTTGTAACAAACCACTCCTTTGCTCTTGTTCAAAATTATTTTAGAATTATATGGCATTATGTACCTGCATGATTTTTGGAGCCATTAGATATGCAAAAGTTTTCAATACCATCATAAAACCTCCGAATTGAAATTCGTTGCCCATTTTGTAAAACAAATTTTCTTTATCCTTCAAAGTATCAACTTTGAGTCCGAATGCAGTTGAAGCAATGACATCGGTTGTAGCACGTGCGTAGAAATCTTTCAGTTCCAAGGACTGTGGACCTAAAAAGTAAATTTGTATCACATTTGTCATTTGATTTAAACGGAAAAAAGATTAGAGAAAGTATGCATGCATACTTAAAATTAGGGTTCATACGCCTAATTGAGGTGCATACGAAATATTCACTTTTTCAAAAACAACGGCATTCTAACAAAATCAACTTTTCTATCATGCTCGCAAACTTCCTTTACTGCACTTTGGTAGAAATTCCTATATTCAACTACTGACACCTTCCATTCTATTTTCACCGAAGCATTTAGAAAAATATAGAAGTGCATTCCGTCCACGGAATAATAAATTACTTTTTATAGTTTTTAATAATTTGAACCTTTTTGTTGTATTTCATTTTTCATAAACTCAGCCATTTGTTGAGTGCATTCAGATATCAACACAAACATGTTTCTCATCTTGCTCCCTGTAAAAGCTGGACTAAGGGTTGCTCGCATATCACGCTATTTCTGATCTGAAAATATAAAATTATAAGTGAAAAATCATAATTAGTAAAAATAATTCTATTTGAACTAGTACCTTGCATGGTAAACAATATATTCCCAAATATTGGATCAACTTCTTCAGAGATAAAAGCTCTATGGTTCATGAAATTGTCAAAATCCTTAACTCCAGTTTGTCTGATTAATTCAGGATCCTTAAGTACTATTCCCGGCATACGAAATTGGAATACACCATAGAATCTAATTTAAATTCCAAATATTTTATTATACGACATAATAATTATTTTATATCAATTTACCTATCGTTGGGAAATTTGTTATAAATTTTTTCAGCATTTTCAATCATATTTTCCAATCGAAATAAAAAAGATGCTAAGTTTCCAAAAAATGGGAACGGTTTCTGGTGAGGCACATTGGAGTCTTTGAATCTATTGTAGTTCCATGTAGCATATAAATAGAAGGCATAAGCCAACACTGCTATCAGGATCCAGGTTATAAAATCCATTCTAAAAAATATCATAATTAATTTTCCCATTAAAAAAACAGAATTATTATAATGCCATAATAACATTTTGCCCAATTGATCACATTTGAATATAATAATATTAGTTTGTAGTATTTAGTTTTAATACTGTGTAATATACAGTATATATTATTGTTTATCACATGTAACAAATGTTGTATTCATAAAAAAACTAGCTGCAAGTGGCATTTTGCCTTAAAGCAAGTTGCATGATTGACTAATCTGACTGACTTGACCTTTTTAATTTTCGAGATTAGTGCAGACTTCTTTCGAAAAACGTTGACGAATGATTAAATTTTGGCTCACATACACACACACACTTTTTCCAAGTTTTGTGTCAAACGATTCAGAAAGACTTAAAACGTGGTGAACGCATAAAATTAACAAATCGGATTTTCTGGCAAAAACGTAAACTTTTTCCTTTAAGAGTTAACAAGCTTTTATTGATGATAAATATTTGTGTGAGATAATTTTACATATTTATCACAACTGAATATTCCTCACAACATTTTTTATAAAACTTTTATTGTAGATAAATTTTATCTAATACTGATAATAGGATGGCAAATTGTACGTGTTTCATAAAATTTATTGTCCTTGTTTTTGATGAAGGTTTTACTGTATCATAAATAATAAATTGGTTGTATATATATATATATATATATATATATATATATATATATATATATATAGCGGTTTTTAGAGACTTCTTTCACAAATCACATGAAACAAATTAATTAGTTTCTAATTTTTATTTAATATTTTTTAATTTGTTATACACTGATCTAAATATTTTTATATAATTCATTTTAATATAATCACTAGAAAAATACCTTAATTTATAGAGAACTACGATCTAACATGAATATACAACTACAATACTCGCACTGACATCACACGAGTCATGATCAGTCAATTACTAAACAGAATTACTTACATATTGTGATGTAATAATAATCGTTCGAAATAAATTCTAGATAAAATAATTTACCTTCAAAAGCATACGTTTAATATATCAAATTTTTTTTATTTTATTTATTACACATTTTTCATTGTAAGAGATGGTAAGACAAATAGAACAACCATAAAATTTAGGATAAAATTTTGTATGTAGATACTTTGAAATACTTTTGGTTTAGTTTACCATCTAGGAATAATTTTCAATTTTATTATTTTTTATAAATTTGTGCCAGTCAATCTTCATTTCCAAAAATATAGTTCCAAAATTTATTTATAATTTAATCAAAATACTACAAAATTAGGGTTCAACTAAAAATACTTATGATTTGCGTTTGCGATCTGATGGTACTTCCTTTTTTAATCATTTACTACAAATTAGTGCCAAATAGTTGTGCTAAATAGATTTTGATTTTTTTTAAATGGTTTTCACGTTTTTTGATATAAGATAATTTTGTCTGAAATATATATTGACTACCAAAACCGATATATACTTAATTAAAACTAATTGAAAGAATGATTTGTAACTCATTGATATTATAGTATTGTATTTTATATTTGAACAATTCAAATTACATTGTGCAAATACAATTTGCCCTTATTAACTATCTTACTAATAGATAAAATAAATTATAAGAATCATATTTTGTTGACTCTGCTGTTCATTTATTCACTCTCTTCTTAAAGGTGACCCAAAATCCTTTTTCAACATGCATGTTAAATGTTGACTTCTTGATTTTCAAAGGTATTTGTGTTTTCTCACAAGGCACAATATCAAAATTACGGAGAAGTTCGAAAATGATCATTTTCACTTCCATCAATGCAAATCTGGATGCTAAAAATAATTAGACATCAAGTACCCATGGGTTAAACAAAATATTAAAATTTATGTATCTTGAAGTTACCTATGCAGTTTCGTGGTCCTACACCAAAAGGCATATATGTGAATGGTTTGATTTTGTGTTTATTATCATCATTGAATCTTTCAGGATCGAATTTATCAGGATTTTCATAATATTTTTCATCGCGTTGCAAGTAGTATATAGGATACAGGACGACTTCTCCCTTTCTCACCTATTTGTTTTGTAATAAAGGATAAATTTCAGAATATACAAAAATTGTGGCTGTGTTAGATGACTTACTTCGAACTTATTTCCTTCATAATCTTCAATTTCATAAGGCTTTATACAAACTCTGTCAGTCAAAGCGAGTGGTGGCCACAGTCTTAAACTTTCTGAAAAATTTAAATCTTGTTATTATAAAGAAAACTACTAGATTATTTTGATATATGTATAAAAGTGATTTAAACAGAAGACCCAGCCACACTACTTTGATCATCAAGATTTATGGTTACTTACCAGATACGACCATATCCAAGTATTTCATATGGACTACTGTTTCATAGCTCGGTTTATCACAAATATCATCAATTTCTTGTTGAAGCCGTTGCTGAATTTCTGGATGAAGTGCCAATTCATGGGTCAAAAAGCATAAAACAGTTGATGTCGTGTCAAAACCAGCCAGGAAGAATATCATGGCTTGAGCAGTTAACTCATCGTCCGTCCAAACTATAAAATTCAAAATAAAAACAGATATTGATGATATTATATTTATTTGTTCATATATTTTTCTTAGCATATTAGATTTTGGTCATTAGTACCTCTTTTAGTTGTATGGCCTTTTGTGACATGGGATTCTGCAACTGTAGCAAATCCTGCGTCAATATTATCATCATTTTGATCTTCGTTTTTAGTAACTTCATGGCGTAAAGCTCCTTTTTTAGCTTGCATCAATAACTGTATCATATCTGGTCTATGGATATTTTCCTTCTCCCTAAGAGCAATAGTGTCACCAACCAAAGATCTGAAGAAATTGGAACTTTCATCGTCCGCTAAAGCTATTTTGAAAAACTAAAAGAGCGCGAAACTGATTTTTGTTTTGAGACATTTTTTTTATAGTTATAGAAAGAAATTTACCTTCATAACTTTGGGAAACATAATGTGAGCAAATAGTTTCATAACAGTAAGGGCACCACCAAAATTAAATCGTAGTCCCATTCTGTAGAACACATTGTCCTTTTCCTTCAAGCTATTGACTTTGAGACCAAATGCTGTAGAAGCTATTACATCAGTTGTAGCTCTTGTGTAAAAGTCTTTTAATTCTAATGATTGAGGGCCTGAAATCAAATCAATTGATCATTCTATCCAACTAATATACTAACAGGCAATAAAAAAATAATACTACTATTTATTTACCTTTCGCCTCGATTTCCTTCTTCATAAAATCTGCCATCTGTTCAGTGCATTCCGACAACAACCTGAACATATTTCTCATTTTACTTCCAGTAAAAGCAGGACTAAGGGTTGCTCTCATGTCACGCCATTTCTGATCTGTATTGAATTACTATTACTTACTAATATAAATTGGAAACGACATATAAAAATATTCTATTATATTTTATGTTTGTTTCAGCGTATATAAAGAAAGGAATTTTTTACATGCCTTGGAAATTCAGCATAACGTTTCCAAACATAGGATCAACATCATCAGTAATGAAAGGTCTGTGATTTGGGAAGTTATCAAAATCTTTGACACCAATTTGTCTGATCAATTCTGGGTCTTTTATCATCACAGCAGGCATACGGAGTTGGAAGACACCATAAAATCTTGAAGTTAAAGGTAGGAGTAAAAAATCTGTAGAATTTAAATTGGATAGTCAAATTCTCTTACCTTTTATTTGGGAAACTTCTATACACTTTTCCAACATTGTCAATCATGTTCTCCATGCGCAGCATAAACGGTCCGGTGTTTCCAAAAAATGGAAAAGGCTTCTTGTAAGGCACTTTCGTTCCTTCAAATCTGTCATATGTCCAGGTGGAATATTTGTAAAAAGCGTAGACCAGCACAGCTACGAGTAGCCATGTTATAAATTCCATCTTTAGAAAAAATTGATATTAGAAGATTGTTATGTAAATTCATATATGAGTTTGTCCACCATCCAACTATAGTTTGGAAAATGGAATATTTGATGGTGGTCACTGTTTAGAACGACTTAAAAAGTCGAGAAAATCGGGAAGTAAAATATTAACGAATGCTTGATTCAAGTGAAAGTTATTTTTTCATGGTTTAAAAAAATGTTGCGTTGTCCTCTTATATTTTCTTCTGTGTTTTTTTTCATCTCTTTAATTTTTGTTAAACGGCTATTTATATGTAATGTACACATTAAACAATTATATAATTAACATAAACAAATAGCTAGACATTTTTTTAACTGGCTTTTAATTTAGCATGTACATATGTACCTACGATTTAGCCTTGAACGCTTATTAGATAATATTTTTTATCAATTGAGATGACAATGCTGAATAGCAAGGCTGATTCATACATTTGGCGTCCTTGATTTCGATCAAATGTTGTATTTGGCGGGGAATCGATTAATTAGAATCGTTTATTTAAAAAATATTTATTACAAAAAAATAAGTATATTAACTGCTTACTTATAAATGATCAAGTTATTACTTACTAGCAAAAGCTAACAGGAAAAAAAGTTATAGCTAACTACCAGCTATTTCTATTCAGTCAGAATTTGCATTGATTATCTAGCTTATCATGAGTTTGCAGATTTTGAGAGTTTAATTTTTATGTATTGATTTTTCGTAATCTATAGATATACCTTATCATATGTATAATGTTTTTCACGTAAAGATTATAAATTCATAAAAATTATTGAAATATTTTTAATTTTATAGATTTTTTAACAATAATTAAACAAACGTATAAAAATATAATAAATACAGAAGAACCTTTTTTATCCAGATTTCGGTTATACGAATTCGCGATTATTCGGACCCCCAACCACAACCAATTTTTTTAATAAACCTTAATTTCTTTGTTATCTGAAGTAGAAGTAACACTTCTACTACTGTAAAATTATTTGTCATATGTAATCTAATTATATTGTCTTTAAATTTACTAGTTGTCGACTAAAGACAGTTATAAATTATATGATGAAAAAAAAATTCTTTGTTATCTATGTATGTATTTGTTATTTTTGATAAAAAATTTGATAACAATTTCAAATTTTATTATTAATTAAACAATTTTGAATGTTTCTATGTAATAAACAAATAAGTTTTAAAATAGACCTCTACCTAGTAATTGAAAATAAAAATTAAGTTATGAAATTTTTTGAGACTTCTTCAGACTCAGTTTGACTCTTCTTCAGCGAAAAACACAAATTATTAAAAAAAAAACAACGCCAAAAGACCTGTGATTTACAGTCATATTTGTAAAAAAAAAAAAAAAATTAATTTGAAAACTTTAAATTAGTTTGTTTCACACATCTTTCAACTCAATTTAACGTGATAATTGATTGTTATTAATTTGAATTTTATTTTGACTTAGATTCTGATTTCTTGATATATAGTACATAACTAAACTAAAAAATATTAAATATATTTTGTATTTAATTTAAAAATTTTCAATCAATTATAATTATTAACTACACTGACTTAAGATGTAAACAAAAATATTTCAGCAGCTTTGCTATTTCTTTTACTTCACACCTAGTTTATCCAAAACCACGAAACGATTCGTAACACATTTTCTAATAAAAATATTCTTTTTAAAATATATTTTAGGTGATTTTAACAATTATTATACCTTGTTTTAATTTAAATAACAATCACTTGTGCCCAAACACGACTTGACACAACTGCGTTTATATTCCTACTGATACATCTTCAATCATGATGAATTAATCAGCCGTTACATATACTGATGTAACCGTCCTCAAAAGTGATGAAAAATCGACCAAAAATATGTAAAAATTATTCCTGAAATAAAAATGCAGAAAATACTTCAATTGGTATTCAGCAAAACACAAAACTTTTAGTTCAAGTGAATATATTTTAATTATTATTTATACATGAATATACATGTATAAATTTTTATAATTGTAAATAATAAAATTCACCATTATAATTATAATTTATACTACAAAGTGACCAAAGTGTATTTTTGCAATATGCTTGTTTTTAATTGCGAACTTACGATAAGATGGAAATCATGTTTATTGATAAATGTGATTTCCATCTTAAGATGACTTCTCAATTAAAAACAAGTTTATTTTAAAAAAATATGTGTATCTTAATTTAATTCTATTTACCCGTATTTAATTATTAATAAATGTAATACCCATAGTTAAATATAAAACTTTATGAGAAATAATAAGTTATTTATTATAAAACTGCAAAATCTCAATTTGAATTATCAATATTAATAAGTATTACTTATAATTACGATATACTAGTACTTTATTTTTATTACTTGTTGCATCTTTGTTTAAAAGTGACCCAGAATCCCTTTTCGACTTTCATGTTGAATGTTCCTTTAGTCAGTTTTAGTGGTATTTGGGTTTTCTCACATGGAACAATATCGAAATTACGAAGAAGTTCGAAAATGATCATTTTTACGGACATTAGAGCAAATCTAGAAGCTGAAAAAAAATTTAAAACAATGTTAGTATTTTGCATCAAATAGTAAAAAATAAAATGTGAAACTAAATCAATGTAGCCTAAAGGAGGACAAATTAGTTTGGAGCTTCAAGTCACAATTTTTTTAAACTAGCATGTTTGATTTGTTTTTCTAAAACAAAATGTCACTCACACCTAGTTCTATTTTTAGTAATTCATTACCTATACAATTCCTTGGTCCAACCCCGAATGGCATATAAGTAAATGGTTGGATCTTGTGTTTATTTTCTTCACTAAATCGTTCAGGATCAAAATGATTTGGATTTTCAAAATGTTTCTCATCTCTTTGTAGAGCATAAATTGGATATCCGATCACCTCTCCTGGTTTGATCTAGTTTTTATAAAAGAAATAATAACATTTTCATACACAAGAATCAATAATAATCATAAAATAATTACTTCAAATTTGTTTCCTTCGTGATCCTCAAGATTGTACGATTTTGTACAAACTCGTTCGGTGGCAACAAACGGCGGCCATAATCTTAATCCCTCTAAAAAAATTGTTTGAAATTATTATATTGATTATAATTGATTTTTAACATCATATTTTTTGCTATTCAGAAGTCTTTCCATTTATTTTACCAGATACAACCATATCCAAGTACTTCATGCGAACTACAGTTTCGTAATTTGGTGTTCCACTAATGGAATTACAAACATCATCAATCTCTCGTTGTAGACGTTCCTGGATTTCTGGATGTGTCGCCAATTCGTGTGTTAAAAAGCACAAAACCGTGGAAGTAGTATCAAAACCAGCTAGGAAGAACATCAAAGCTTGGGCAGTCAACTCATCATGAGTCCAAACTAAAAAAAACAGAACAACTTTATATAAATTTGTCACTTCCAGAAATTTTGCAACTGTTGTTTTCTGACCTGTCTTGATTGTTTCTATTTTTGTGGCGGATTCTGTGGCAGTTGCAAAACCAGCATTAGATGTATCGTCGTTGTCTTCATTTGTTGACACCAATGATCCTTTTTTTGCTTGCATGAGTAATTGGATCATGTCTGGTCTATGAATATTCTCTTTTTCTCGAAGATCCATGGTATTGCCTACTAATTTGCGGAAGAAGTTGCCGCATTCATAGTCGATGAAACTTATCTTGAAAAACTAAAGACCAATAATGATTTCAATTATGATCAATTTAAAAACTAGGAGTTTCACAAAGGTATTGGAAATACCATAATTTATTTAAAAATGCATAAATAACAATGTTGAGGACTATCATTTCTTTGTGGCAAATAATCTTAAACTGATCATTGTGGAAACCATGAGTGGGGTCATCTGATTTACCTTCATAACTCTGGGTATCAACAAATAAGCAAATATCTTAATGATAGCTTTGAAATTTTCACCAGTCAGTTTCTGACCCATCCTGTAGAAAATATTCTGTTCATCCTTCAAACTATCAACTTTTAGCCCAAATGCTGTCGATGCAATGATGTCAGTGGCAGCTCTTGTATAGAATTCTTTCAGCTCCAAAGACTGTGGTCCTATAATAAAAAAATATATTATAAACCAATTGTAAATACTGATTGTTAGCACAAACCTTTCTCATTGATTTTTTTCTTCATAAATTCACCCATCTGTTGAGTGCATTCAGATATTAGCACAAACATATTTCTCATTTTGCTTCCAGTAAAAGCTGGACTAAGGGTTGCTCTCATGTTGCGCCATTTCTGATCTAATGAATAGATGCAGATTTATTTTTAGTTACTATATACTTTAAAAATTTAGAAAAGATTGTCATGTTCTTCTAAAATATTGTTTCATCGCCATTAAAAGTCTTTTTTTCATGTCTTACCTTGAAGGTTGAACATAATATTACTAAACATTGGATCCAAATCTTCTTTAACAAATTGTCTGTGATTCATGAAGTGATCAAAATCTTTTACACCAACTTGTCTAATTAACTCTGGATCTCTTATAACAATTGCAGGAGTACGCATTTGGAAAACACCGTAAAATCTATCAAATAAATATAAAATTATGATAAAATATATAAATATAATATTAAGAACTGCTATGTGGTTATATGAAAAATTATAATTGTTAATGTTAACGAGATATATAGCAAAACTCTAAATAATAAAAGCAGAAGCCTCATGAATTATTTTCTTCTAAGGAAACTTTTTGATTATGAAGGGAAGGAATGGAACGAGAACTACATTAAATGGGATATTTTTACCTATTATTTGGAAAGACGTCGTAAAGTTTCGAGAAGCTTGTGACAATGGTTTCCATTCCAAATAGGAACTTTCCAGAATTTCCAAAAAATGGCACAGGTTTTTGATAAGGTACTTTTGTTCCATCGAATCTACCATAGTTCCATGTAGAATATATGTAGAAGATGTAGATTAGCACGGCTACGAGGATCCATGTTAAATAATCCATCTGTAACAATAATAATAATATTTGATATTTCACATAAAACAAATCCACACCTGCAGTTCTAAAATTATCTTCTATATTTTATATAAAATTTTCATGATGTATAAATTTATATTTTATATATGTACACATATACATATAATTTTATATTGTGTATATTATATTCCCAGAATAGAATACATACACCATATTTTTGAATTGATTTAATTCTGTATAGAATTCCGGAACTATTTATATTAGAAAATATTTATTAAACTGAACATTTTTTTAAATATTATAAAAATAGAATATTCAGAATATGATGAGTATTTTATAATCTTTAGAAATTGATATTAAAACGCTTTAAAAAATGCTAACAGTTAATATTTTACTGATATTTTTTTTTCAAACTGTGCAAGTCATAGGATTATATAACAGCTTATATTTAATTTATTTTTTATGTTTTTGTAAATTACAATCTGTCTATATAGAAAGACATTGAGTAATTAATTTGACAAATAACATAGAATTTTAAAAGGAAAACCTAGTGGTTCACCTTTTATTAATGTACTAAATTATATCTTAATTAAATTTTGATATTATAAATATTTAATATTTGAATAGATATTGTACTGTTTGTTAATTTCAAAATACAATCTCTTATTATAATTAATTTAATATTTTCAAATAAAGTAAGACACTTTTTACAAATATAATTATATTTGCTTAAGTTTAAGAGAAATTAAAAGTATAAATTCAAATAAAAACAAAAAAGTTAACAATTATTTACCCTCACAGAGTCTTGCAATATTCAATTATCAAGCATAAATTAAATTATTATTATCTCAATCTCATTCTAAATTTTCATAAATAAGATTATCAACTTTTCACCAAAAGCCATAAACAAATATAATCACTATTTTTACACAATGTGTTACTCGTTAAAAATAAATCATACTCATCCGAATAAATAAAGTTCAATCGATATTCTTTTTAGGGTTTACGTCTTGAACCATTATATTTATTTTATTATATCAAACCCTTAAATTAAATATTTATCCCCAAAATGTTTTGTTTATATTTTATTTACCTCATCTATTAATTAACAAAATTTCTGGAGTAAAACTAAAACACAACTTATCCGGCGCGCATTTGGTACAAAACTGAAAATGTTTGTTCTGATGACCGCAGATTACTGATCAAATGTAGTCAGATGTAACGACCTTGCTTTTTTTTAAATTTATTGTCAATTGTGTCTCTAATTAATAGTGAATTAATTGGAAAATGATTACAGAGTTGAACTAGTTTATTAAGAATCTCTATATAAATGGAAATTAGTTAATATTGCTTATGATCTTGATGAAAAATAGTCCTTATAGGTTCATATCGAAAATAGTTTTTAAAATATAGAGTATAATTTGTAAATAAAAATATTTTTTATTTAAAATTTAATGAATGAAAAATTATTTTAATTTTTAACTTTGGATATATCTCAAAAACTAATGTAATAAAACAGGGGGAAACTGTAATAGGACGAGAGTTTCATGCATAATTATGTAGGTATAATAATTCAAATAAAGTATATAAAAATAATTTCTATTTTTATAATCAAATCAAAAATACAAAAAATATAAAATAATATATTTATTTGTTAAAAAATATATTAAAATTGGATTCTTATAAGACCTTCAAATATCGTATTGGATTCTTACAAGACCGTTTGAATATAATATCTTCTTATTAGAATACTTGGCTTCATGTTGTACTAAATTTTTATTTATTTATCATATTTTCTCTGATATTATATTCAAACTCTTTCAATAACAAAACATATACAACATCTTTAATAAATTTTAATTATTAAAACGCATTTAAGTATATTATGTAATTTAATCTTTTATTATTGAAACCTTAAATAAAATGTTTGTATTTTCGTTCAGCGGTGTCCCGTAAGATGAAACTACTGTATCTTATGAAATGATTTTACTGCGCAATTATTTATTTATTATTTTCAACAATTACTTGAAAATTTATTAACAATATTAAATATGGATTTTAGGCATATTTTCCAATTGTCTATTAGCAAAATGATTAAATGAGCCTGGCGTTAGTTTCTTGAAAATTTCAAAACAGTTCTTGGAGCCTTTATGATTTTATAAGGCTTAATAAATAAATTACAAATTATAAGGTTTAATAAATATCAAAGATAGTTACTAATAAATTATAGTACGATGGATATCAAAATTTTTTACTAACAAATCTATAAACAATATAATATATATTTTAACAGGAAGTGTTATTATGTAACAGTATTTTTAATAATATATTAATCATTAGCACTTAAATCTTTATATTTCTGAAATAATCGATGAATATACCAAAATCTTCATAATCTTAAAATTATTATGACTAGTGTTTGAAGGTTTTACATATTAGTTTGTATATAAAATAAGTTATTTATTATATAGTCAATATCTGCCAGAAAATATATTTTTTCAAATATTTTAAATTGTAAGCAGACCATTTCAATTTTTGTCTAAATCTTAGAGTTATTTAAAAATTTATATTTGATATTTTAATATCATATATACATTTTATTTTATTGCACTTTTGATTAAATTCTTGGGGAATGGTTTCTTTAGGGAAAAAATGAGTTTATTAATTTGAAAAATTTTGCAAATATTTTTAAAACGTAAGCAGTATTTTTTGTTTAAATTTTAGAGTTATTTAGAGTTAAAATGTATATTTTATATTTTATATATAAAATCTTTAAGAAAAAAAGATTAATATTTTTAAATATTAATTAAATTATAATTTGGACTTTAAGCAGACTGTCATATTGTATATACATCATATTTTATTGCAATTTTGTATTAAATTCGTAGGAATAATTTCTTTAAGAAAAAATGATTAATATTTCATTTGAAAAAATCAAATTAAAATTGAATATATCTACTCAAAAACCATGTTGATTTGAAAGTAGTGTGAAACAAATTTGTATTTATTTGAAACTTGATGTTTATATTTATATGGAATTTAATCTAAAGTATTAAATCATATATGCATTACTTTATTAAATAACTTTCTATTAATTATTAATTAATAATTATAATTATAACTTTAAATATTGTTCCTTTTCCTTGTTTCACCTTCGCTTCACTCCGTCGATCTTCGTTCAAGTTCGTTTCAATAGTGGGGACAACTTGACGAACGTAAATTTCGCTTGCATTTTAACCTCATTCAGTCACAAATGTTCTGTCAGACACGGTTTCTCTATATTTTTTATAAATTAAAAAACGCAAATAGGATAATAAGTAATCGGAAATAATTTAAATAAATTTATATCAAAGTCGTTGTTACATGTGATTTCGTAATCGAGTGTTTTGTGGATAAAAAATGTGTTTAATATATTAAATGTGACGTGTGAATAACAACATTACACAATGTAGATGTATATATAAATACACCAAAATTAACTTTCAAACTTACTACAAAATGAATTTTTAATGCATGTGGAAATATAAACATATATACTATTTTTTCATGTTCTTTATCAAAGTGTTTATGATCTGTCATGGTGATTAATAAGTATAATACAAGTTCTTTAAATTCCCCAGTATTAAATCCAAATAATACTAGGACAAGAATGATGAATCCCCAAAGACGTAGAGTAAGTAATTTTTTGTAATTATTATTCATATTTTATAAAAAATTAAATTAGACATTTGTAACATAACCTAAACATGCCACAGGTTGTGCAAACGAATGTCAAATGGTTTCGCGAATGTTCTCTACTGTCAAAATGGTTATAATATTGTTCAGTGGATTTTATTGTTGAAATTTGATAAATATTGACATACTTTAATTTAATTTTATCAATATATAATAATTAAAAGGCTTACTAGAATTATTTCATCATTAATTTATCATCTTTGAATCTCTATAAATTATTCTAAAGTACTTAGCAAACCTTTGCTTTTATTTATGTCAATTACATAATTCTGTTTAATATTTTTTTAATTAATATTAATTCATGTCACTATTAAGGATGTTTTTTGGCATTTATTAAAACCTTAGACTTTACTACTTAATTCTCTATAATTTGTCATTACCTAAATTTTTAATTTATTATTTATTTTTTGACTTCCATATTGGAAAAATGATTGACCTAATCAAAATGCTGCCAGATTTTTTTATATTTTTTATAATTTAGGTCACGTCTTAATTATATTTTTATTTCCCATTTCATGTTCAATTAAATATTTTTTATAATGTTGTAATTAATATACAATTATTGAAGAATGCCAATACATATCTTTCGTTTAAAATTTATACTGCTCTATATTTTGCTTTCTTTCTTTACTTTCTAGTTAAATTAATAGAGATAGTTGGATTAATGGTTGAATTAATATCTGTTTTCCGTTTCATTTTAACTAAATTTGTTCATTGAATATATTTTTCAATTTTATAATTAATATATATTAATTATACTGCTCTATATTTTTCTTTTTTTTTTTACTTTCTAGTTAAATTCATAGAGATAGTTGATTGGGTTAATCTCTATTTTCCGGTTCATTTTAAATAAATTTGTTCATTAAATATTTTTTATAATTTTGTAATTAATATACAATTATTGAAGAATAACAATATATTTCGCTTAAATTTTATATTGCTCTACATTTTGCATTCTTTCTTTACTTTCTAGTTAAATAAATAGAAATAGTTGGGTTAATGGTTGGATTAATCTCTGTTTTCCGTTTTATTTTAACTAAATTTGTTCAATTAAATATATTTTATAATTTTGTAATTAATATGTAATTATTGAAGAATGTCAATATCTTTCGTTTAAATTTTATACCGCTCTACATTTTGCTTTCTTTCTATGCTTTCTAGTAAAACTTATAGAAACACAGTAGAGAAGAATGCATTAAATTTTGCCTGAAAAAATAATTGACTTGAAAATATTATATTTTTATTGTATTTATTTTTAGTATCTCAATACCAAAGTCAGGTGCTTTGAGTTTTTTAATGTCTTCCATATTTTTACGTTTGTCTCTATTTCTCTATACTCTACATTTTGCTTTCTATCTTTACTTTCTAGTTAAATTTATAGCGATACAGTTGAAAAGAATACATCGAATTTTAAAATAATTACTACATATTTTAGTATTTACCTGAAAAATTAATTGAACCTGAAAATATTTAATTTTCATTATATCTATCTTTAGTATCTCCCAATACTAAAGTCAGGTGCTTCGAGTTTTTTAATGTCTTCCAAATTTTTGCAACGTTTGGCTATTTTCGTTGTCCTAGATTTATGCCAAAATTAATTTTAGATAAACTTACCTATACCATGATATTGAACTTGCCAATGATGTGCCAATTTGGCACTTGATGATTTGCTTTGACCAAAAATATGACTTTTGTAATATATAATACCTGCACGTTTTGTTCGATTAGATTTAGTGGACTGTATCAAAACTAGTAGTAATAATCTTTTAGTGAGGGTTTGTTAAAATATTTTGCCTATTTAACCTTTAGTACTAGTAAACCAAAGTAATGAAGGTCAAAAGACCTTTAACGTGATTAAAATTCCAAAATGTTTGGGTCTAGAGCAATTAACGTATTCAGGTAGTCTTCATATGTTTAGGTGCTTCAGTTTTATATTTGTTTTTAAATGTTGTCTGGAACAAAATAGAACTATGTATAAGTGGCATTTTGCCTTAAGGCCAGTTGTATGGACTACTCAATCAACAAAAATCAATAATTAATTTAAGATATTTCTAATTATGTATATCTAATTACTGTAGGGATTATAATGCTATTGCAAATTATTTAATTTTTAATCAAGGTTGCTAAACATGATACTTATTTTTTTGGAAAATAGTTCAAATGCTACGTTCCTTATCAAAGTTTTAATCATTTTTCAATTAGACTACTTTTTGTAGGTGTCTATTGATATGCAGTCTATTCATATGCAAAGTTTTATTAGAATCTCCAAATATATATTATAAAATATATAATAATATAATTGATAAAATACGCATCAATAAATCAATTTTTCTGCTATAAATCAATTTTCAACTTTAAAGGCGTCTGCAATCCATCAATCTCTATTTTATCCGATCAAATTTTTTCTATCAATCAAAACATTTCAAA